GGGAAAGAGAGAGGACTTGGGTATTCAGCATGAGTCTTGGGAAAAGCGCTGTGATAGCAGAACCCTTTAGGATATAATAATTTAATCTTGAAAGGAAAAGGAAAAGAGGCTTAAAGAAACCAGTCTATCAGTTACTTGGAACACAAAACTAGATGGGACAATCTGGTTTTCAAGTCCTGGAATTAAACAAGATGGGCAATTTCTGGTTCTCACGTCTGTGTCCCTGTGAATTCAGCTGGCATGAAAATCCAAATATATCCAGCCTCTTTGAAATGTCAGCGCTGGTGCTTGCTCCAGCACTGGGCCAGCGGGGAGGTGGATTTGTGAAAGCAACTGTGTTGGGTTGCGTGTTCTACCTAGCACAGATCCCACAGTTGAACGCAACTTATGTTACCAAAAAGCCATAACAACAAAGTGAAATTCTTACCTTTAACAAACACATAGATCTTGGCCATGAGCTCCTCATTAGATGGGGAGTCATCACGAACGCAGGTGAAGTAACCGGTGTCGTTAGCGATGACTTTCCTCATGATGAGCGTGCTGCAGCTTTGCCTTGTGTTATTGCCACAGTTACTGATGTGCACCCGGGGGTCTTCCCTCTGCTCCTCTCTCAAAAGCCAACTTACAGAAGGGGCTCCCCTGTCAACACAATACACCAAAATTAAAGATAGAGTCAAGACTTCAGCTGAAATTTGGGCTTCATTCTGGGCAACTGTTATTGATGTTCCCTGTATTCCTACTCTTGAAATGAGTAAGAAAGTTTGCTGGGTGCTTGCATTTCCACTCATAAGAAATTCAGGTGGATCACCCCACATTATTCCCCAGAGCAGAGGAGATTCCTGAAACAGGCTGAGGGGACTATACCAAGCGAGCTCCTGGAGGAAAGTTTTGCTTTTGTTTTAACAGACTTCCTGAACATGAGTTTGTTTTCATAACACTATATTTTAGCCACCTCAAACATTAGAAAGCACCAGATAAAGTTATAGATTTCTTCCCAGCTGAGGACTTTGCATATTTTAACAGCTAAATTAACTTACATTTTTTTATACTAAAGCTGTGTGGAGAAAGGAGAACATTTATGTAACTTTGCATCACCTTTCTTGCTTAATCAGCAGCGACTCAGTCTTGGATTTTGTGAAGGGTCTGGAACTAATCAGATTACAAATCTTAGAGTATCTGCTCAAGACACATTTTTTTTTTCGATTCACCATGTCATGGCAGTCAGAACATAAAGCTGGCAGGGCAGATGATGCACCATCCCACCCACCTGACCCGCTCGTTGTCTTATCTGTGATCGCAGCTAATGTCAAATCCAGTTTTACATGGTTCGCTGACAAAAAGCAAGGCCTTTTTGTAACCTGTTACAGGACTCGGAGAGCTTTCAACAGATCTAAGTTAGCTCAGTAACAGGCACTGGTTGTGCTAATCCTATTGTGCTGGAAACATCAGGCGGAGGAGCTCTTTGAGCTCTCTTCTGCTTGAGATGCTCTGTGAGGGCTCTGGTGATGCTCTATTTCATGCTATACAAGCTTATGAGATGAAGATTATGGTCTTTTTGTAGCAGACTGGTTTTTGGTGGCCCACGTGGAAGCTGGTGAGATACAGGGGTAATCATCCATGGATTTTTTGGGGGAAGAAGCTACCGTGAGAGGGAGGCAGTTCTGTCTGTCTGTGCTTGCAGAGAGAAGCCACCCTCAAAAGGACAGGGACTCCCCCCTTCTCACTCTGTGAATTCCCATGAATTGACCCAACGGCATTCGCGGAGCTGAGGAAGGAGCAGAACCTCTGGATTTCCCCAAGTGAGTGTCGCCAGGGAGAAATCCGGTCTAGACACAGCGATTCAGCATAGAGGGGCTCATACCGATCGTATCCAACAAGCAAGCTGTGTGAAGTTTCCAGTTAGCCGATAACTCGAGCTACTCTTTCTGTGCCAGTGGCTTTGTAGCAGTGCAATAGGTGCAGCAAGGGAACGCGTTTGCCAGCAAACTCGGTGACACTTAAACAAACATCCTCTTGGCCCCCGGTTCTCCCCGTCCTTTCGTCGCCTTCCTGAAGATGATGCGGACACAGAGCTGAACTCTTGAGGTTATTCCCAGCACGTAGCTGAGTGAGAGCACTGAGAAAAGTGTGAATATCCTCTCTGGTGAATGATCACCTTGCTTTTGGATGCACTGTTGAGTTGAACAACCCCACCCCATCTGTCACACCAGCTTCCTGCCCTTCGGAGCACTGAATTATTTTTTGACGTGGAGGTCCCTACCCAGTGCTCTTTCACTATCTTATTAACGTCATTAAGGATGTAATGACCGCCTCTGTCAAGAAATGGGACTCGTGGCCCAGAATAAGAAACAATGGCACTTCACATGCAGACACTCAAGTCCCAGCATGTCACCATGTCCCTGCCCCTCCACCACCAGGTTGGTGTCTGCCAGGACTGAAATCTGCAGAGCGGCTCAGGGATTTCACTCTCCTGCACTTCCTTACATGGGCCCACTTTTTCCTCCTGCATATTTTATCCCGGTCGAAGATGAAGACTTTGTCTGTTGCTTTTGGATTCTCAAAGCAGTAGCTTTGGCCAGGCTGCCAAAAATCAGGAAATCCTGCCCAAGAACGTCAAATGAATGGAGCGTAAGGAGAAGGGACGTTCACCCAGAGTTACCACAGTCTTCAAGGACCTGATAAAGGGACTCTCACGCTCGATGTGCAGAAATCACACTTCTGCCTTCTATTCTCAGCTTTTTTGAGCCAAGGAACTAAAGTGCTCCAGGCCTCCATGCTAGCTGGATACTTCTCTGCTTCCCATACTTGTCATGTGGATTTATTGCTTTGCGTTCATAAAGCAATTTTGGACCGAAACACTAATAATTACTTCATCTATTTATTCCTCTGATGATATGAGAATCATACCAATAATCTGTTCCTACAGATTTGAAACACAGTGGAAGGAGAACTGCTGAAAAGTACTGATTTAATGGGCCTGGAGCATTACACTGCACTCATGGCCACATGATGTGTTTTATGAAGCTCTGCACCTAGATTTTAAAGGGCTGTTTAAACTTTATTGCCATCATGCCTGCTGCTTGCCAAGCTAAAAATACCACTGTAAGGTTGTTTTGACCTCGTAAGCCACACGGCTAGCTGGAGGTATTTGGAAAAAGTCTGCCTCGCACTCCAGAAAACATCACCAATTTAGATAGTATGAGTCAATTTACCTTTCACTATAACAACAAATTAAATGGACTAGGTCAAAAATCAGACGGGAAATATGTGTCAGCATAAACTACAGCTTAGATTCACCTTCCCACTGCTTTTTTCTTACTGTTTCCAGTAATTTCTGTTGCAAGAAACCATCCATGTAGTGGCTACAGTCAAGGACACTTTGCAAGATGCTGTAAAAATAATGTGTGTGTGAGAGAAACTGTGATATTTTGTATTACCTTAAGGCTTCTGTCCTACAGTGCTCTCAGAGAAATGAAAAGACAACCTCTCACAGTAGTTTGGCAAATAAATCACACTCGGAACAAGCGACACCTAGGGACATCTCAGTCTGAGGCCTTTGTGCGACTGAGCAAGGCGATGTATGTGTGACACAGCAGAAAGTGCTGAGGCTCTCTGTGTTTGCTACTGAGCCATTTGCCACTCAGCTGTGACCCAGCGCTGTATCCCCATTTCCAGAGGATCCTCTCCCTGCAAACACTCATCATTACCAAAATGTTCCGTGTATCTTGCATGGCTGGTTCGTACACATTGTGCCAAGAACTGAGGAGCTGCCATAATTTACAGTATCAGCGGTCTGGTTTTCTATGAGTCCTGGTTATCTTTGATTTAAAGAATATGATATGTTTAAACAGGTCATGTCTTTGAATGCACACATGCTAACTGCTGTTTATTTAACCGTCATCTTATAGGCTAGATGGTATTTGGGGTTAGGAAGTTGAATCTCCTATGTATATGTGTAAAGAGCTAATGACATGCCCTGGTGATCTTGTCATTTACTAATGAATGGGGAGTGAAAGGGTGATTTTAGCTGCAGAGGAGCTGAATCTGAACCTATTTTGAGATGTGGATTTTCCAGCCATGTCCCTAAGCATGGTCCACCCCCTTCCCATAAGCTGCTGACTCAGGGTTTTGCTTGGGCCTCTTTACAGCGTACAGAATCTGGCCAAGCTGAATGCTGACCTGTCTTTCCTCTCTGCTCTGTTACAGCCCATCAAGTTCTTCACCATGCAGAAAAGCACAGGAGGGTGAACAGCACCGGTTCCCCACTGGCTCTGCAGCAGGCTTTGCTCTGCTCTACCTACAAGCTGTCCTGTGCCAAGGTAATCAATCCAACCCGGGAAATCCAGCATTGCTGGAGCAATCCTTACCTGCATTTTATTTTTAGGGTGTCTCCTGGTAAGATGACAATGTGGTCTTCTGCAATGCTTAGCATTGGTTTCTCAAAAAATTCTTCCTCAGCAAGACCTGACCCAAATAAAGAAGAAATCATCATTAGGCAAGCTATTCATTATGGTCAGAACAGGCACAATAGGGTTGAGGCAAGCTTTTTGTTTTGTAAACAGTTCCTAATTTGGGGGCCCACACAGTGCTTGCATTTATACCAATGCAATTCAGTTGAGCGTGGAGTTAGTTGTGAGATGCCCTTAGTTTGTTTATCGTTTCCTTTATTCACCTCTTTCTTTTCTAACATTAAGCACCTGCATTTCTGCTAACAGTCTGTCTCTCCTTTTATTTAGAGCTAGCTTTGTTACTGAATTATTGCAGTTTTAGGAGAACAGATTCATCTCATAAAGATTTTACACATATAAAAGTGGAAGGAGTCAGGTCTTTGGGAAATAATGTGATGCGTGAGCTCATACGTTACATTTTAATCAATGGAAGAAGAGAAAAAAATCATTCTGGGGAGCAACTCTGATTCACGACTGCAAAGCATCTGCTATATTAAAAGCAAATGAACAACCTGCTGTTCTCCAAAGCACCTCTGACAGATACTGCACTTGCACTAAACAGCAAGCTGCTTGCTCTGTGTCCACTGTGGCTGTGTACCGCTGTAACGCTTCAAGGCGAATGTTTAGCGGTGTCTGCGACACCATCCACCCACGTCAGTGGCAGTGTGACAAGGTTCGTCAGGTCTCTGGTGACAACAGTCTTTAACGACAATGATGATAAAGGTCTCTCTCATCATCAACTCTTGACTCAGGAAATGTCTTCTGAATGTGAAACTGCCCTCAGTGAGACGCGTATCTGAGTGCACATCTATGACAATATAATTTTCAGAAAGCGAATCGGAGAAGAAACAGAAGTGAAGTTGACCAGGCTAGTTTCCTTGTCCAAATTCGAAGTAACATAATCAAGGAAAGGAGAAAACAGATTTAGATAAGTATCTCAGTTTCCAAAGCTGACATTAAAGCCATGTGTTTTCTTTTCCCTGCTGCTCTTCAAATCTCTGTCTTCTCCTTTGCCTTGAACTTGATAAGCCTGAAATCTTTGGCTGGGCTTATAACAGAGGCATTATTCTCAGCAGAATAGTGAAGATAACATATCTAGCAAAAAGAGAAACATTAGGGTTTAACTTTTCAACTGGATGAAACAGTGATTTTCTTGCCTCCCATCTCTCATCTCTCATCTCTTTTTTGCTGGATTTGAGTAAAATGCTCTTAGCCCGGCCTACTCTCTGTGCAGAGAGTGAATCACTCCTGCTTTGAAGACGCTGGCTTCCTCCCCGGCCATTCACATTCCCACCAGTAACTCTGGTGAGGCCAGTTCATCTCACAGCACCAGAAAGCCCTTCCCAAAGGGGATCCTGCCCTGACAGCACATTGCTTGACTTCCTTTGAAGGCTTACGGACCCTTCCTGGAGACCTCTAGCTGGGACTTTGAACTGGTCCTGACCATTGCTTCAGCATCAGACATATGCACCCCCCCAAACACATTCAGGATGACACGTGCAGGATGCAGCAGCCCATTTAGCAAAGAATCAACAGAAAAAGCCCCAAACCCTGCAGGAGGAGATACTATCAGGAAGTCCACCCTTGCACTTGACTCCGAGTGCCCTCCAGTTTCTAAACACCCAGTTCCCAGTGAGCATGGGCTGAGCTTTGGAGTGTGGTATTTCATGGTGCTGAGGTATTTCGGTCTCTTAAGACCAGGTGCTGAGCTTTGCAAAAACAATCCAAAAAATGCCCAACAGCATTAAATACATTTATCAGGTGCCATTTCATTTGCTGGCTGAAGTTGGTCAGGTCCTGCGTAGCTCTCCCAGGACACAGCCACTGCCGTGGTCAGCATTGGGCTGTTTGTGCTGTGACTCCAGCCAGGTGCTGCCTGGACTTAGAAAATCCTGCGGTTTGAAATAATCCTTTATTTCTTTCCTCTTGTGCCTTCAGTTGTTTTTAGGGCTTGGGGGGGGCTTAGCTGATGTCTTGAGCTGGCCTTTTAAGCAGGCCTGAATTTTCCCTCTTGAGAGCGAGTGTGACACTGTCGGAGGGGGCTGCAGTGCAGTGCCAGGCAGCTGGCACCAGACCTGGGCTGCTGCTGTGCCTGGACAGCAGTGCAGACCATGGGCTTTTATAATATTTGAGACTGTTTTTGCTAAAAGAAAGAAAAGTATTTTTCTATTATTCTGTTTATACTTCTGAGCTACTTCTTTCCGAAAGTTTAATTTGGCTTCAGGAGCTGAAGAAAAGAATAAGCAAAGTGTAATTTCAGTGCTTTTCTACCCCATGGAGGACAGGAGGAGAAATTCCTCTGCCACACACATTTGATTGCTGCTGCCAGGTGACAGAGGGTTTACACAAACACAATGTGCCCTTTCTGGCACACCAGAGCCAAAGCTGAGAGCTCTAAAAAGAAAAAGTTAGAGGGCAAACCTGAGCGAATAGTAGGGGAACAGGTTAGGCTGTGCTACATAACGGATGCCTGAATGCCAGAATTGGCAGGATGATGCCTCACAAAAGTCTGAAACTCCCATAGTCCCTTTGGTGCTTGACTTCATTTTTTTTTGAGGCAAAGCTGGGAGCATCCCCATGTCGGATGAGAATAAAGGGACCTACTCTCATACTTGGTTTATGTATTTGAGGAGGCTCGTGGCTTTAAGAAGGCGTTAGGATTCACAGCAGTGAGTGGTGCCAGGGGAACCTGGGCTGCAGGTCGTTACTGTTTACCTTGCACAGAAACTGAGTCTTCTGGGGTTGCATGCGGGCCTCTTAGTGTCGGTGAGCTCCTGATTGCAGGAGTTTTGCAACACAGGCAGGTGCCTTCTAATTCTGGGAAGGCCAAAGTTAACACAATGTTGGCATCTTATGGAAAAGCATTGTCCACATGCACTACGTAGCTTAGTTATGGTGCTTTTCCTGCTTAGGATGGATGGGAATGCTCACCTTTTTAATGTATTTCATTTTGGTTTTATGGCTTAAATCAATAAATGTCTCACACTTCTCAAAGAAAGTTTTTCACAACTGCTCTGCACTTTGTATAAAAACTCTCAGACTTGAAGAACGTCCCTCTGAGGTATGCTATAAACCAGGACCCACAACCTGCCCAGGCTGGGGTGGGAGACCCACGGTGCAGGACCAAGTCCCGTTGAAGCTAGCGTGTTCTGATTGCGCAGCTCAAATTACAATGTCCAGCCCTAAAATAACGTTATCGTCTTCTCTGCTAAATAATTTTGGTCCTGCTCTAGGACTCCAAGGGTCATAAAATTAAAACAAGTACTCGCGCCAACCATGTCATTACCATAGTAAAGCTCCGCAGAGGAACAAACAGCTTGGCAGGCTCTGTTCTGCAGAACGATGTATAAAGGCCCAGGAAACAGCACTGGTCCCATGGCTGAATCCGCTGTTTATTTTGTGAAGCCAGCACCGCTGCCTGGCTAGGTAAGGAAATCGGTGCAGCACCCTTCCTTAGACCCTCGGGCATGTTTTGGGACAAGATGGTACAGTGATAACACTGCAGAGTTAGCAGAGACCCTGTTGCCCCCTGCAGAGCTACAAACAGGTCTTGGCACAACATCCTCTCTGTAAACCACAGGAGAGAGACCAGCTCCTCCTGGGAAGCAACGTGCTGCATCTGATGTTAGGTTCCTGCCCTCAATTTCTTGTTGCCAATGCAAGGTGACTACAGGACTTGAGCATAGAGTCACCAGGCTAAAGATAGCGCCGAGAAAGAGCCCCACGTCAGGACAGCCCTTCCGTCCAGAGTCTCATCACACCATTTCTACTTCTGAGAATTTATTCTTACCTTCTGTTTATTCTCACATTCTGCTCTTGACAATCAAAACCCCAAACACAGCACAACTACACAAACCCTTGGGAGTGAACTGTGAAAGGCTGACTGATACATTATCCAGGGATGAAAAGTATATTGAAAACTGTTTTTCCTGGGATAATCTGATTTTGCAGCATGGCCAACATTAAACACGGGAGGATCCCCAGGCAGAGGGCAATGGGTGACCTCACCTCTCTCCCAGATGGTTTCTAGGTCTATCTCACTTACCAGAAGGAGATCCCTCCCACACTTAAGCGAATGCCTGATTGTTCATGCTAGGACCACCAGTAAGCATGGATGAAAACTATTTTTAATCTCTATTTCTTATTGTAACAGCCTTCCTGCAAGCATCCTCCAGGCAGCATAACTACCCAGCAGCTACCTCCAGAAAAGCACTCCCAAATGCTTGTGAGATTGAACGTGTGTAGGTATGGTACGTAGTGACAGCTAACATCTATGTGATCTGAGTAAGAGATCCACAAATCCCTTGAGGCACTGCAGCACGCAGAGGAGGGGAAAGCTTTCACAGAGCATCTCACCTCTGCAGCAGATGACAAAGAAGTAATTGCCAGGCAAACGGGAGACTGCTGTGCTGACAGCAAAATGGAGCGGGTGGGACTAAGGCCCAATTCCACAAGGACATGGGCACACAAATAGATTTTTGCACATGAGTGAAATTCAGAGACCGCTGATGTGTGTGAAGTCCCTCCTGTGCAGAGATCAGGGCCCTAGGACACATCAAGTCCCATTAGAAAGGACTGGGAAGCAGAGTTTTAGAGCTGATTTTAGTGGGGGAATGGGACCCTATAGGTACCTGTGCTGCCTGCCAGGGATAAATGGGTGAAGCTCAGTCTCTCCGAATGACTTTGTGCCTGCAGCAGTGAATGACACGAAGGAGAGACAACATGCTCCCCTCTGGGATGCCAGGGTACCTCATCACAAGCACACAGTGTGAGCACGTCTGAAAAAGGAACAGGTACTCATCTTAAAGGGCATTTTCATTACTATATCGCCAAGGAAATCCTATTTTCACTGGAGTTAGAAAGCTCAAGGATTCACTGGAAAGCTGTGGGTGTTTACACCAATGGCCTGTAATAATTTCAGGATTTATTTCAAGGTTACCTCCTATGAAAAGAGAAGACACTACAGCACTGCCAGCATTATTGTATCACAAGCCTTGCAATATTTGGTGTGTTTAT